GCATATTTTATTCATGAATGTTTTTTTTCAATTCTACTTTTTTTGTCACTCAGGAACTTGAGGGGCCTTTAAGTTCCAGGTTGAAAGAAGGTTATTGTCCGACAGAAGCTTTGTTCGGTTTAGATGGCATTCACATTGAACTTGTTTGTAACTGATGAGAGGAAATGTTATAGCACGTGGATGTCACATGCAACTTCCCTCTACACATAACAGCTAATGCACAAATGCGCTCCACAGTAAAATGGGGGGGGGGGGGGGGGGAGTTAAAGAGCAAAGACATGAAATAAACTAGTGCTGTAGTCAAACGTTTAACCGTCCGGTATCCGACCGCCCATGGCGGATTCCGTTTTCAATTGGACGGTTTCGTTTTCCCGATTTTTTTTTTTTTTTTTTTTTTTTTAATATTTTTTTTTTTTTTTTTTTTTTTAATTTTTTTTTTTTTTAAAGTTTCGATTTATGCCCCTCCACCTGGCACTATGCCTGGCAATGTCTCCCAGCTCAGTAATCCGTGTGTTGACTCACCACTCTAAAACTAGAACAACACTCCAATTTGTCTGTCATCTTGGTTTGAAAGTAATCTTTGTAATAGATCTCATCATCTCAATATGTAGTTTATAATAATAATTCATCCAACTTTTACACAAGGTTCTGTCCTAGGTCCTCTACTGTTTTTAATTTATATTAATGATCTTACACATTCTTCTAAAAACAACATTGTTACTATTATTTGTGACAAGTTCACAAGCACAAATCGGCCCCTTTAAATGCACCTCGCAGTTAAATGAAAGTTGCCGACAGAGTCGGTAAAAAAAAATTAAAAAAAACGATTTTTTTTTTTTTTTTTTTTTTTTTTTTTTTTTTTTTTTTTTTTTTTTTTTTTTTAAATTTTTTTTAAAAATCGTTTAACCGAAAACCGTCCGGTTTTGACTGGCGGTTAAACGGAACTGGAGATATCCGTGATGTTACAGCACTAAAATAAACAGACAGTTCTTTCTTGGCAGAGACTTCATCATAGAGGAAGGGGAAAGTGCCTTAAAGATAAAGACCAGTTATGGTCATGCGATTGCATTGTGAAAGAAATGTTGTGAAATTGATCAGAAAAGGTTGATCATCTAGCATACATGTAGATGTACTGCAAGGTTCTGGAATCATCAAAATGATAGGAAATTTGGCCCAGTCTTCATAAAGTTACAAGCACGGTACACAGAAAGATGGGACTACGCACACGTGCGTTTTTTATCTCCCACATACCAATAGATAAACTAATTTACCAAATATATCAATTAGTAGGTGGTTTCCCGGCAAACTTGTTATCATCATGTATTATTCAAAACATAGTCTTTCACATGAATGGTAATATATAAGAGCTTCCATTTCTTTTTTTGAAATTGGGGCATTTCCAATACTGGTTTTTACCTTTAAAGAGGAGAAGAAAAGAAAAAGGAGGAAGAGAAAGAAGAAATGCAGAGGGGGGGGGGGGGGCAATGTACAACAGAAATAGACTAAACTAGAAGAGCTAACCAAGCAAGACAGGTTTTATATCCAGGCCTGTGTGTATAAGCTGCATCTCTTTTACATACAAATATCAAGCCTTATCAATGTTGGCTGAATTAATCCAGCTATTAAAAACCCTTTGTCTGACATTGCCTTCATCAATTCATCAATTCATCAATCAATGCTTATCCTGGACATTCAACTTGCAAGCTGCAGTCAACATACCATATGGACCTCCACTCCATGTAACTTGATCTACCATGTAGTGGAATATATTGCTTGTGAGGAGCGCTTGCTGAAAGATTATAAATCTAAATTTTGCATCTAGTGATAATGATGCATCCAGTTGAGCAACTCTTAATTGCCAGGGCTTGACAGGCACACTACCTGCAAAAACTGCAAGGACTTATTTATGTTCTTTTTCTCTAACGCTTTCAAGGCTGACCCAGGAAGGCTTGTAGGAGTTGGTGACCTATATTTCCCACATATCTACATTATGCAAACAAAAATCTAAGCTCAAGTACATGCATGTACATGCATAATTTGACAGGCTTGTTGGCATAAGTTTTTAAACTACGTGTGGGCCTCCATGTCCATGTACGAATGGACTCCCAAAGTCAGAGATAACCCTAGAATATTTTCATTTTGACATAGAACTTTAGGATACAGCACTGAAAGTTTGCATGTATATGTAAGCTGTAATCTCTGGTAAAAAAAGGGCTAATGTTTAAAGGGATATGACAGACTTTAACAGGAAAGCACAACTTCTCTACATGGTTTTGTTTTGAGGCATCCTTCTTGTGGGTGTGACTTCAGTATTAGGATTAGGGTTTAAGGTATTTGGTCCACTACATGTCCCCAAGGCATGTGTAAGTGTTGTAGGCTGGCCGGCCATAATAACCCCCTCCCTCCCCATCCCCCACCCTACTCCTCAAGTTCACAACATAACCTTGACCAAACTAAACTTCACTAATAACTAGCTGGTAAACAGTTAAGGTCACCAGCCTGTCAACTGTTCAAACACAACATTCCCGGGCAAAAAACCCAGGGCAGCCTATTGTATGCCATCCCCGAGAGCAATACCCTGCTACAAATTACAAATTGCTTGAGTAAGTTACCAAAAACCTATGCAGGAGTGACACGTGATGTGACAGATAAATTAGTTTAGAAGGATTAATTGACTGTGTTTTCTGCAATAACATCATTTTCACCTTTTTTCAAACAGAGAAATTTCTTGAATATACACGTATACAGTATCGAGAACTGGTGCATTTTTATCTAATTTCTGGAGAATAGATGACTTGAATATCACATGTATGGATGACCATATATCAAACTCATCATACATTATCTCTAGGCCACATGTAGCCTAGAATCTACAGTTTAATGTTTTTAATGATCATTGATATTTATGTGAAAGTTCACTATCAATGCACTTTGTGAAATCCTTCATCGATATCCTTGCACAAATGGGCCACACAAATATGACTATCCAGGCACATCGACCTTCGTGAACTACATGTAGATGCAATCTTGCATGAAGCAATATATTAGTTGAGTACTTGAGTTGAACGAGATCAAAGCGATACTAAAAACTGGCATTGAAAAAGACCTTGTCCAACCATGAAAAACTGTGCCCCATTTCATACAAGTTGAAACCAGTATAAATTTTTGTGCAAATGCACCTATAGAAAATCATAAGAGAAGTTCATATTTATAGGAGTTTGTTCAGAGCCCATTTTCAAGCTGTACTTATCCTGTGGTAGATTTCCATACATTAGGTTTAATACCAAGGTGAGAGAATATATTGTTGTACTGTTATCTTTCATATGAATTTCATCCGGTTTTGTTCAGATCTGGCAAAAAGCTTGCTGAACCCCTTACTTACTAGACCTTTTTTTTTTGGGGGGGGGGGGGAGGAGGAGGAGAAGAAGAAAAGTAGATATTCCCGGGGAAAAGATTGCCACTGTAAAAGCATCTAGCAGAATTCATATTTTTCACTTGAGTGATGGCAGCTAGAAAGGGGCTTTTAATACAACTTATAATTACTCAAACTATTCACATCTTCCTACATGTACCTCTCTCTCCTAGCTCCTCCTTCTACTCCTTCTCTCTTTTTCCCTCTTCCTCTTTCTCACCTACTCTCTGATCACATCAGCTTGATGGTAGCTAAAAAAGGGTTATAATTAACCCTGTAAACGATCATCGGATCGGTCGCCGATACCGATCCGATCAGGGGTGATCTGATAATAATTTCCGATCGCCGATCAATTAAAAAGATCGGAAAAAAAAAAAAATCGGCATTTTAATGCATACCTACATTTTAATCCAAGATCGCATGTTTTGCCTCTGCTCTTAGACCAATATTATTAATTTCAAAGTCATGAAAAGGCACTAAATATCAACAAACAGGGTCTACAACAACTCTAAATGACAAAATAATCCCAGCCATGATTTTTTTTTAAGCATTTGACAGCCAAAAACTTGAAAATTTTCGTCATAATTTTTTTTAAAATTTTGTCGATCTTCCGATCCGATACCGATCAAAGGTGCAAGGGTGTCGCTCCGATCTTCCGATCCGATCAGAGCCCCAACTTACAGGGTTAGTTATAATTACTCCCACTCTTTCCCTCTTCCTACCTCTCTCTCTCTCTCCTCCTCCTCCTCTTCCTCCTCCTCCCCTCCATCTCTCTTCTTCCTCTTCCATTTCACTTTTCCGCTCCTTTTCCCATATCCTGATCTCTACACCTTCCAACATCGATATATGCCCATCGGAGAGGCATCTAGCTGAGCATTCTTTCACTGCGCTTGTTATTAATCCCTTAAAAAGCGGCAACAAATTGTCCAGCCATGGAGCCAGGGAGGGATTTTTAATTTCCTCTCCATTGATTGGCCTGGATCTAGGTTGTATAGTGGCAAAATGTGAAAATAGTAACAGGGAAATGGAAGTGATGGAGACGTTTCTACTAGAAAAACAGCCTGGAAGGGATATTGTATTTTCGTTAATGAAAGAGAGGAAATTATCTTGTAAAACATTCATTATTCTCTGCCATAAGTTATTGAGCAGAAAGAAATACACAGCGAAAGACGTTCAATTACATTGGCCGACATGTGTAGATGCACCGATACAAATTTGTGTTGAGTCTTGATTTGATGTGTGAACTGTATTGTGAATAATTCTTCTTCCTTTTCTTGTTTGAAATCGTATAATGCAACGATCAAAACTCTGGAGATTAAAAGTTGAGCTTGCATGTACCTGCTGGACTGTGTACAGAGTAAAGGCTCTGTAGGCTAATCATTGTTGCCATATCAGGTAATCCTAAGGAAATATTCAGGTCATCTAGACCAAGTCTATTCAAAGAAGCACGCTTTTCATGAAACTACAAAATAGTACACTACTAAATTGGTATTTTGTAAACCATTCTTTTCTCCAGACTTCGGTGGTAAGCACTTTATAAGCACTGTTTATTATCGTTTTCATTATTATTACATCATTAGGCACTTACCAGAATGGCAATGTAATTCCTGTAGTCGTAGGGAAGTGGTCCATTCCCTCGCAGCATGAAGTCTTGAGTGCGGCAGAAGGCAGCTAGGTACTGCGGGTGTAGGCCCATCACCGCCGTCAGGTGGTCCAATCTTTGGCTTTGTACAAATACATCTGTGAAGATCTCCCGCACCTACAAGAGATATAATGTGAGAATCAATTTAAATCCCCACTGTATTACTTGTAGCTACTTGCTCCCTCTATAAATATAGAAAGCTTCCCTGATCGCTTCCTGTTAATACCCCATGATCCTCTTTTTCTTATGTTAATTGAGAGCTGAGTTGATGAGATAGCCACCTGTCAGGGACCTTCCTGCGTGGTCTAATCCCTCCTGGCCAAACTAGTACAGACAGCCTTTAAATAGAAATGGAACTTGCAACTGGATCATTGATTCCAGTGATGGGTTGTACCACACTTCTCATGCGACAATACTTCTGCATAAATTTCCTACACTAACCAATTTCTTAACTTCAACTCTGAACCCAGCTCTGTTCCTAACACTATCCCTAACCCTATACCTGTGATGAAATAAAGCCAGGAGCAACTGCAGCAGGCCGAGCAAATGTCGGGTCACCCAGTGAAGACTTAAATGTAATAAAAACACAGGCAAAAGTATGGTGAACTAGTGATGTGGTGAGTGACTTAGCATTGAGGAAACCCAACTTTGGTAGGAAGTTGCTTTGAGGTAAAGAACAAAAATATGAGAAACAGAAGACAAAAGTTTGCAAACATATGACCAATAACAAGGAAGATCTCAAATTGAAGAATCTTTGAACCTACACAATGTATCTCAGAGACCATTGCAATGGATTTGAATTGAATGTAACTTAAAGAGAAGGTTGAGTTCTGGGAAGAGGTGTAAAATAATTTGTGAGCATTATCATTCTTATTATGCAAGTGTGGAAGAACATCATATAAGACATGTTCCCTGAAAAGCATGGCTCTTCAAATGCCTTCATATTCGAAATATGTCATGTAACATCGTAAAACTCGGGGGGGGGGGGGGGGGGAGGATTTTTACGCCACATGTTCGTGTAGTCCCATATACATCTTTCTGTGTACAGTGTTTGAAACTTACCAAGACTTGGCCAAATTTCTTATTATTTTGATGATTCCAGAACCTTGCAATGCACACAAATTCTTATATGCTAGATGATCAACCTTTTCTGGTCGATTCCACACCGATGCTTTCACAATGCAATCGCATGACCAGAACTCAACTTCATCTTTAACTCCAATCACAACTTAAGATAGGAGATGATAAAGTAACTTGTAATTGACTGCATTGAGGACTTGATATTGATTCAGATCAATAACAACATTTGGTACTCTTTGTAAGACAGAGCCCAATATTTTCTATCAAAGTTTCTGTCATCAATCGTTGATCTTGTTCCAAATCCTGACAGAAAAACATTTTGGTCACAGATACATGTAGGCCTACGACCATATCGCCCATCAAGGCCTACGACCATATCGCCCATCAAGACCTACTACAAGTCCTCTATAAGACTATCTTTTACCACTAGTAGACCAGGGAGGTGATAGAGAAGGAGTGGAAACTCTTGTAATTTATTCAAACGCATGCATGAGTTCTAAAGCGTAACAATGGTAGACTGACCACAGGCTAGTATTTCGCAGGATATTGTAGGTCTCAGACACACGTACTGCTGCTTGACAATGCAGGAGCAGGTAAACCTTCAAGCAACTATTCTCTATTACTTTAGAACCAATCTATATGCCCCCTTCTCTCTCTCTCTCTTTCTCTTTCTCTCTCACCTGGTAAGAATCGTCAACTCCCATGTCTTGTAAGGAACAAAGCAATGTCCACTGAAAGTTTTCTTTGAGCAAGAACTCCTCTGAAAATTATGCAAAGCTATTGAAAATAGCACTTAAAGAGGGACACTATAATGCAGCAAAAAAACAGACATCACCTAAAATACTCTCTTCCCTATATCAGTACGCCCCAAACATGGTATTGCAAAATCCAATGTTTCAAAATCCCCTCCCATTCAAGAATGGTACAAAGTCTGTCGACCATGTACCGATTGCATTATCTGGAAGAGTGTGAAATATAAAATTGTGAATAGATATCTGCTATTGTGTGGATCTTATAGTTGAATAGAGAATGATGAAAATAAAGGCAATAACATTTTGCAATTCTCTTTATATCATTGATCAGGTACTTCTATTTTGTAGTTTTTATTCTCTTCAATTTCTGTTTCCAGAATGATACAAATACATCACAACATACACTGCAGTTTGTGTGAACTATCAAGTCAATTGCCAGATTTCAAGAAAGAAACACAAAGTTTTGGTTGATATCCATCTAATTTGTAGGTACAGGTACAGTTCATGGATGTGTATAGAACAATTATAATTAACTACATCTGATGGATAGTAGACGGACCTCCCCCCACACAAACATGAAAGTAATACATACACTAAAATAGACAGGTCTCACTTTCTTTAAAATAGATTATACACTTTCTATAGTTTTGTTTTCTATCACAAGCTGAGTCAGACACAGAAGAGATTAAAACAGATATTGGTCACAGTATGCAGGTCATGTAAAAATAAATAAAGAGAATCTATGTAAAGTGTACATACTTCTTATTCGAAGCGGATATCATAATCAGGCAAAAGAAACATGTGTTCTTTTACAGATCAAAGAGAGTGAGTTTTGAAGAGGAACATGACTGTCATTTGTAACTTTACCGAATGTGTGTAATCTATCCGAGGAGCAACAAATCTTGTTTTATGACAGATAGGTCTTACGCAATGGTTACATAATCTACAAACCATGTCCGATTGTTATTTCAGGCAAGGATGTACAGAATCAAGTGATAAGCCAGGCAACCACATATCTGACTATTTTTAGAAGTCTCCACACATGGGTCTGTATTAGAAAGTAGGTCCATGGCATGCTTCAAGCTGACTGCAAGATCTACATGTACATGTACAGTATGTGTTCATGCAGGAATGGCAATTTTACAGTCTTGTGCAAGCTAATTGAAAGTGAAATCTTTTGATACAATCATTATAATCATGTTTCTGTCTTGTATCAATCCAACAACAAAATCATCATCACCAAGTCCCTCAGAGAGGACTTAAAGCTGTTGGTCCCTTTGTTTACTTACAAGCATGCTTTCATAGCAGTCAGGTAAAACAATCAAACAAATCAAACAACGAAGTACTCCCTAACTTTTCTCCTTTGGAACATTTTGTTTTGCTGTAAAAATATGACAAAGAAATAAAAAGGCTATAGGCAGCAATGCTTCAACAAAGTTTCACTTAATTGCCAACTATGTATTCATTTAAATAAATATACAAACATGCAATGATAAATGAGGAATATGTATGCGATGATTTTGACCACCTACCATATTCTGAAACTTGTACGATTCATTGCAAATTTCCCAATTCACCGGCTCTGTTTCAGCCTCTGTGCCTTCCATTTTTTGTTTTGTTATACTGACAAAACCCACAAAGATTTCATCAAACTTCAAATGTTTTTAACAAAATTACTCTTGCAGATGCACGACACAGGATGCAGTATAAGTGGCCTTCATCGAAATGGGTTTGTTGTGTGATGTTTTCAAATAAATAGATTATCTCAGATTTAACGATGCAGCAAAAAACATAACAGTACGGAAGTAAACTTTGTTCATTAACATTGCACAGTTATGTCCTTGATAACGATGGTCTATTTTCAAGAGTTAGACAGATTAAGCTCAGGGAGGAAATGTCCTAAAAAGTTGGAAGATATAAAGATTCACAAACTATAGGTCCTTCCCGTTAGAAGTTTCAATAAACCATTTGTTTATATCGATCCAACTACCGGTAGAATGAAAACCTGCAGCTAGCAGCAATAGTAGTATGGAACTTCAGCAAAGTAATTGTTCGTTGCTATGCTAATGAAAGATGTTGGGCCATATATCCTAAGATGACTGAAGACAGTGCCTGTAAAATACCAAACACGGAATTCTTTAGTCGAAAGAAGGTGTTCTCTTCTTTAAACGGCAATACTTGGGCCCGTCTCACATTCACTTCAATTTAGAGTTGATTTGAGTGGCTATAAATCAACTTAAATGATTCAACTTCAAAGACATCACTGAGTCCAAGAAAGACGAGTCCATGTCCGTTGTGCATGTGTGCTTACAGTACTCTCCTCTAATCTACGAGACCAAAACGTGACGACTCTCAACAACACCGATGTACAGTACATGTAGGCCACTGAGAAATAGATCTACCTCATGGCATGGAAAGATCTAGTGGAGAGATGTTGTTAGATCTGTTACAATGTCAGCAGTGAAACCTGACATCGTAAGACAAATAAACATTGCAGGAACTTTTGTCATCCGCGATGATCCACCAACAGAACACTGAAGCCCAACGTGTCCGGGTGGCACGCTTTTAAATCATTGAGTAAGATCATATACCAAAACATGGCAAGACAAAAACAACGAAGGGGGGGGGGGGGGTTAAAGGGGAAAGAGAGTGATCGGCATGTAAACTGTTGCATTCTTCGATCAGAGTGACAACTTCCTCTCTTTCTGGGACAGATTGACGCAAACTGGCGACTGCTTTCTCTCGTAATTCTGGTTTTGGGTAAATTGTGAGTGACGCATACTGGGCTACCCTGGATCGAATCCCAAACTCAGTTTGGAAAACTGTGGTTATTCTGTGAAACCCTTTCAGAGAAAGTCCCAGGGTGACACGCATTTGTATAAAGAAAAGTTTTTTATTTTAGGAATGGGTCTTTACGTAAATCAAATTGGATGTAGTGATTTGTTTAGGTGTGTCATTTCAGAAAAATAGAAAGAGAAACCATGACATTGATATATATTTATATTCCCTGAAACAACACTAAAACAGCATCGGTCATTTCAAACAGCTGGGCATAAAATGACAGGTAAAAAAGAGAGAATCTTCTTCACTTGTATCATGCACATTTACTCAATTTCTTCCACATATTAAACATAAAGATATACATTGATGAATTCTGCCTAAATGTAGCTCTAGACCGACTGGCAATTAGAGTTAGACCAAACGTGCGATAGACTTATTAGAGATTAGACCAAATGGAAATTAGATATGACTATAAGCCTAAATGGTCATTAGACCAAATGATATTAGATAAAATGATTATGAGACCATGTGGATAGTAGATTAGGGCCGGGTGTAAAACACATGAGACTAGACAAATTGGTTGTAGACCAAACGACAAATTCACCTTTGTATAAACTCTACATTCATATCATATTTAGAAACTTGATTTATCTTGTTATTGTAAAAATTTGGTTTTGCATCAGTTGTGATGAATGGATTGTGAGGCATTATACTGTTGCGAAACTGAACCATTCACTTAAAATGATCAATCAGCATTCATGTCCAAGAAAGTTTCTTATGTTACAGTACTTAGTCCTAACTTCTATTGCAAGGCAAAAACATTATTGTAAAGAAAACAAAAATAACTAACCTGTTCATCCGCTCCATTCTCAACTCCTTGTATCTGTGAAGAAAAATAAACAGAACAGAGAAGCACCATTAGTAATATTGAAATTTGAATTTGAATTCGAATTTATTGTCCAATAATTGGAAATTTGTTTCGCTCACATTTTACAAACATACGAAGAATCAAAATAACTGTACATACATAATATATATCGTATACGGTACACGTACCATGACATAGAAATCCTTCAGAATATTGCTGTACAGTTGTTTTCTTACGTTAAACAAAATAAATGAATTATTTTAAGCGTTTGAGTGAATAGGATGTGTAAAGACGTAAAAATACAGTAAAACCTGTCTATAGAGACTAATCAAGGGAGACATATCGTCCTTGGTTTCACGAAGTGACGGTAGTGAGGAAAATCGTAACACAAAGTGAATGCAATTTTTTTTCACTACCGTCACTTCGTGAAAACAGCGACGATATATATATATATATCTGGTAGTCTCTCTGTATAGGTCACTTTAGAACAGGCTTAAATGAGAAACATAATTTCATTCTTTTGAAAGGAAAACATAGCAGAAAGAAAATGTGGTGATCTTTCTGCGAAAATGTAATCAGAAGGGCAGCTTTCACAGCGCATTACAATGTGCTCCGAATGATGACTATTTAAATTATTGATAATTTATTCATGGGTCTTCTGATCCTGGAAATTTGATTTCCATTTTCCGCCAGCCGTATTCTGAACGATAATGAAATCGGGAGGAGCTGGTATCAATATGATTGTGGTCTAGAAATCAGTAGCTCAGACCAATTCATCATTATCAACTCAACATGATTGATTCTGTCTCTGTACACGTTGCAGATGCAGGGGAAAGGGTATTGCACTTCCAAACCACATTCTCCTATGGGTTATGGCTACAAGGTCTGAATGTTATTCCTAATGATATGAGGGCTGGCAGGACGATGTGAATCATGTGATAAAACAAAACTCTTAAGAACGAAAACAAAATGGCTACAACCGATCCTCACTGTAGCTCTTTCCATCAACTCTTACATGGAAGGTTATTTTGGTGTGAAACATAACTGAAGTTTATAAAGTGATAAATATGAGTAATAAATATGCAGGCAGCAATTATTCTAATGGCTCGACACATAAACAGCTTTATTTCATTTGTTTGTTTTCTAGGTGTGTCTATGTCTGTGGGTGTGTGTGGGGGAGGTGGTGGGGGAGAGTTTATATGCATTGGGAAAGAGATTAATGTTTTAATATGAAGAAGTTAAAGCAAACAAGTGATCTGTATAGAATTAAATGGTTTACAGCATTGAAATCCCAAAATATATTGCCAATTATAAGTAATTAAAGTACATTGTTAATCGGTCAAATTGTTGGTCTGCTGTTGTGACTTGGGTATCAATTCAGCTTTTTCAAACCACATTGGAAACTTGGAAAATTCAAGTTATGTACACATAGTCACATACAATTCGTAATGGGTATGAATGTTTAAAAACAAATTCCTTTATAATTCAGCCTACACTCGTAAATGTCAAGTATTGGGATACTGTAAATAATATATTGTTTTGATGACCACGTCATTGTCAATAGATGAATAGCATGTATGTCAATCATCCCAACATTTGGGATTGAGCATTGTGACGTAGGACAAAAATTGTAACTACATCTTAAAAAGCATTTTCTTTGATTTTTTGAATAAATAAATCCCTTTAATAGCCTACAACTGGAAATGTCAAGTGTTGGGATTTATTGTTTTGACGACCAACGTCATTGTCAAAAATGGAATTGCATAGGTCAAGCATCATATTAACAAGACACTGTGGGTCAACTCCCACTCAAAGGGCAGACCCTCTGGGGAAATCAAGCCAAAATCACACCTCAACTATTTATAATGGAGTTATATATCCAGTGAGCGCCAACTGTACATGTTTTATTGGGCTATAATTGATGCATTACAGTCGTATATCATATGTACATGTACCTGCCGCATAGGCCGTCAATATATTTTATCATAATTCATTAATTATACAAATAATGCCATCAGCACCACCTTCATAATGTCGAAGGAAACCTTGAGTATAATTACAAATGTATCTAAAACATGTAATTACAGAGCTATGTTACATGTAATTCTATGTACCTTTCAAGGATATGTTTAACATCTTTTTTAATTGGAACTGATTTCCCATCTGTAAACAAAGTTTGACATGAAGAATAAAACGTGTAAATGAGTGGGTGTGTATACGCTGGTATTTCTATACCAGCATGCAACAAGGTCTCCAGAGCGTTCTCAATTGTCTGTTTTTTTTTAATGAAAGCCTTCAAGAATGTGAAGCACTTGACAAAATGTGGAATTTTGTATTGCTATGTAGCATCTGAGGCAGTTCACTCCGTCCAGTGTGAAGAAAGCTCTAGCCGGCGGTCCCATTTCAAGGAGTGACTTGGTAATTGGAGCATTAACAATGTGATTTAAATTAAGTGGGGAAAGGCATTGGATCGCACTATGGTCAACCTGGATATCAGTAGCATTACAATATTGTTCATAATCCAACTCTACTGTCCCGATAGGCCATCACGCCATCAGCTTCTATTCAGAATCAATGCTTAATGCATATAAATCTGAAGGCTATTAAGGCCAAACATATTACTCCAGATTTGTGGTTTGGAATACTGGCATATATTAATCGTCCTTGATTAACTGTCCTAAATTTGAAATACCTACTGTACATGTACATGAACATGTATAGGCCTACTATAAATGAGCAGAGAAAAAGCAAGATGTCTGAATTATTTTGTCTCCATCTGAATTGCATTACCAAATACTGTTTTGTTTTGTTTAGTTTTGTTCTTTGGCCAGGAATTTGAGAAGAATTATCAACATCAAGAATATTAAAATTGGCAATATCATATTGAGTTATTGACAGATTGAAAATCATTGACTTCCCATAAGATATACCACTCAGATAATACTGTTTTATGTAATCTAATTCGTATCCAACTTTCTGGTAGAATAGTCATCAAATATGGCATCTCTAATGAGGACAATTCATCATTCAAAGCCTTAATAAAATCCTGTGTATGAACCCCATGCTGTGCATCCACAATGTGTACATGGTGATATTCTTCAGCTGATCTGGTTGCGTTGTATCCCATGCAGTGATCTTTATCATCTTATTGACAACTCTATAACAGCATGTGTTTGCTATCTCCCTCTGATGTGAACAGAGTGGCAGTGAAAATGCCTTTCAACCCCTAGGTTTGCTATCTATTATTCAAGGAACCTGTCCACACTTGGTAAATGTGTTTGTTACAAGTTATGACTAGGATATTGCCTCCCCAGGATTAACATAAATGTTGAAGAGAGGGGGGGGGGGGGGGACAGAGAAACAGAGAGAGAGAGAGAGAGAGAGGGGAGAGAGCTAGGGGGAGAGAGAGAGATAACGAGAGAGACAGACAGGTGGAGAGAGAGAGAGCGAGACAGACACATATAGAGACAGACAGAGAGACAAATAGAAACAGAGGGAGACAAGGACAAAGGGGGAGCGAGACACAGAGACAGAAGGGGGAGAGAGAGATACACACAGAGACAGACATAGGGAGAAAGAGAGACAAACAGAAACAGAGAGAGAGAGAGAGATTGAAGGGAGAAGAGACAGCCAAGCAGAGCAGATGGACTGAGAAGAGAGGGGTGGGGGATGAATAAACCCTACAAGACAGGATTGCTATCCACAGATTGCTCCCCCACATCTGTTGAATGAGTGTCGAAAGTTATGACAAGTATGTTGCCTTCCCTTCATGTGATCAATCATTAGAAGACATTAGAAACCCTAATGGTTGACATTCATTACTCATAATTGCATAAACACACCAAGTGAAAGTTTAAACAAAGAATTACGACCATCGTGCTGTCTTCAACAGATGTGAACAGAGTCACTGTCATGCATTGTAAATCAATACAATTACTGTTCATTATGAATGGCTGCATTCACATGCAGTTGTATTCCCATGATTAAGACAATCTTCAATCCCTTGAAGTTGCTAATCAGTAAAATAATGGCTATATTTAAATTTCAAACTCACAGGATATACAGTACATACTGCATGCACATGTGTAGCTGTACAGTCCTTGATGAGAATACAAAGGCATCTCATCAGTCTACATACATGTAGGAGTGTTGTTGATTAATGATTACAAGTGACTGCAATCACTGAATAATCACAATAGGGGAATAGTTCGGTTGAAAATTTGACATTTATTTTTCGCTTGGTCATAACAGAGGGTCTTATCAACACACAGGGTGACTGTCCATTTTGGACATATCATGCATTATTTGTTGTTACCTGTAAATGTGGCAGTATCAATTAAGGCTTAATTTGCAGTCGGTACAAATTAGCTGAGCTGTCAATCTTAATTGCTCACAGCTCATCACATTTAAGAAAATGTAAGAGGAAATTAATGTGGTATTTTATTGATGGGAATGGATTTTGTGTGCTTGGATCACTACATGTCCTGTACCTACTAAAAAACTGTGGCAGTACACTTGGCTACATAAATTGACACAATATTCAATGTTTTTGAAACACCTGTATTTGTTTTTTGACATTACGGGTAATTTTTCAGTTTCCCATAGCTTTTACTGTAATAACCAACCCAATGCATTATCATCTTTATTACTCTTAAATTTTTTCAGTACATGAACAATACATGTACATGCATATTTGAGAGAGAGAGATCATTTTAACTTACATAAACATACTAAACTGAAAATGTACCAGTATGTAGTTTTCAAAGGTGATGATAATGATGCATTTAACATTTCTAAATGACTAAAACTAAAAACATATTACTTTTTTTCTTCAAACAGGTTACAAAGTTTTAATAATGCTTGTCTGAATAGACCTTCAATGTAGCAACTTTGGCCTTTCTCTCTACTCAAATCAATAGCATCTTCTATTTCCATCCCAACCTCGAATTTGACACAGACAATGAATAAATCTCGTCTAGAGTTTGACGCAAGAGCCGACCATGCCGTGCCGGGAC